TTTATATTGTAGTTAAAAATCGGGAGCAAGAATACTTCCTTAATTGATTTTGGTAATTTGTCATGCAAATTAAATAATACTTCCTTAATGTAGTTTCTTCAGACTTCGACTTGGCAGTTGGCAGGGCACCTTCATCGCCGGATAACTCGAATCGCCAGTAACCACTACTTCGCCGGAATCTTTCCATGGTGCATGCTTTTTGCCGATGACATCATCATTATGAGATAATCACAAGAGGATTTGAATGAGAAGTTTGAATCATGGAGACAGGCTTTAGAGTTGCATGGCTTTCGTATAAGTTGTACTAAAACAGAGTATATGGAGTGCAAGTTTGGCAATAGAAGGAGAAACAGTAACATCGAGGTGAAAGTTGGAGAAAATACTACACTACAAGTAAAGAGATTTAAATATCTTGGTGTGCCATTCAAGACAATGGAATAGAGGATGATATTAATCACAGGGTTCAAACCGATTGGTCAAAATGGCAGAGTGCTTCGAACTTTATATGTGACAAAAAGTACCTTTAAAACTAAAGGGAAAATTTTACCGTACAACTATTAGACCAAGAACACAATGTTAGTGTGGCGGAAATAAAGATACTTCGTTGGATGAGCTACGCGTATGGATAGAATAAGGAATGAAGATATGAGAGCTAAAGTTGGAGTGACACCTATTTTAGGAAAAATGGTGGAAACTCGTCTTAAGTGGTTTGGACATGTGGAGAGAAGACCAGTACAGCATCCCGTGAGAAGGGTTGATCAAATGGTGAATAAGCATGTGCCTTGAGGATGCGGTAGACCTAAGAGGACTTGACAAGCATTGATCAAGGGAGACCTTCGCGTAAACAATCTCAAGTAGATATGATACGCGATTAGACACAATGGCGTCGTTTGATCCATGTAACTGACCACACCTAGTGGGATAAAGATTTGTTATTGTTGTATACAAACAAATAAAATAACATATACACTCTCCCTATCAAATTTATTTATTCATTTCTCAAAACAAAATAATATTTTTAGAGAACGTCACAAAAAAGGAAAAATAAAATAAAATGCTTTGTATGAAATTCAACCGTTCAAACTTCTTGTCGCTTTAAGTGGTAGGATATCCATTCGCCAACATTAATGGGGAAGTTCACCCATGTTCGAGCCCAGCGGAGGCGAAAGCATTGACTCTTTGTGCATCATTAGATCGAGAAAAAGAGTTTATTGCACAAATACCCCTTGTGGTTTGGTAAACGTGCACTGTTGCTCGCCATGGTTTCAAAACTCCTCCTCATAGTTATGTTAATGCTACGCCAATACCTCTTTAGATAAAAATATCATTCAAATATTAAGTGAATAGCTTTGTTACCTTCTATGGTTTTGGAAATGGGCATCAATGCCCTCCCTTTTTTCTTATTGTTTTTCTTTTTTCATAAAGAAAAAAATATATTTGTGTTTGAAACAATGAAAAGTTGTTTTTCAAAAACCAAACTATATCTTAAAAAGTTTAAAAAATATTTATTTTTTGAAATAAAATATGAAATAAAAATTTAACATACACTTCATTTGTCAATTTAAATATTTTAATTTTTTTCAATTTTTTAATGAATATGTTGAGACCAAATCAATACTGAGTATGGTCTTTTTTATATATAGTTAATTATATATTAATAAAAAAATTTTGGAACGATGCGTAAAAGATTTTCTTCATGCCTCATTTTTTCCTATTTTATAAAAGTATTTTTTCATATACTTTTATTTTTCTTTATTTTCTTTTATATTATTTTGTGTTTTATTTTAATTTTGATTAAAATAAAGGGAAAGGTGTAAAATTATTTTTGTTTTGAAAAAAAGGAAAAATAATAAAATAAGATATCATAAAATGAACAGAAAATGAGAAATAAGCTTTAGCGAAAAAACAGAGTGCTCCATTGAATTTTGTATCCTGAAAATGAATCAATAAAGACCTCATGTGGACAAAAAAATATTTAATTTGAGATAAATGAACGGTTTAATTCTTTTTATTTAATTGATTTTTTATTACAGACAAAAAAATTTTTATTTTTAAAACATTATAAAGAATAATTTTTAAAAATAAATAAAAATGTATTTACGAAAAACATAGAAGAGAAAAGAAAAAGAAAAAAGAAAAATTGAAAAACGAGAGAGGGCGTTGGTGTCCATTTCTAAAATTATAGGCGGCAACAGACATATTCACATAATATTTGAATGATATTTTAGGCCCCGTTTGGCATCAGCGTCAGAGATTAGTGTTGGCGTTTTGAAAAAGTTATCCGACGGTAGCCTTTAGCGTTAGCGTTTTCAGAATTAATCTGTACCGTTAAAATTTTATCTAAAACGCTAACACTAATCGAAAACGCTGTTACCAAACAAAGCCTTAGTCTTGAAGGACATTAGTGTAGCAATATCATAATCATGAAGGGCAGCAACATAAATTTTGAAACTATGAGGGGCAATAGTGCACATTAGCAAACCACATGGGGTATTGATACAATGAACTTGTTGAGAAAAGTACGAAGAAATATTATATTGTAATCAAATAAATATACTACTGCCCCGTCCCTATAATGATCTTTCTAGTTACTATTCACATGGTTAAACTTTAATCACTTTTTTTACGTATTTTTGTAAGCTATTTGATAAAATAATATAATCATGTGACATCTTATTTTGTAGAACTTTTGATGTAATTCTAAAATATATAGTTTTTATTTTTAAATTTTACACCTATAATCAAATAAATCGAATGGAAAAGATCATAAACTAAATTAGGAAGATCATTTCAAGACAGAGAGAGTACTTAATTATCCCATTTTTAATTCACGTGTGATTAATTTTTTATTGAAAAATGCTAGGGGTACACCAAAGATGTACCCCATTTGTCCCCCACCCCCTCCATTACCACAAAAATGGACAAGAATTTTTAAAAAAATTAAATAAATAAAAAGTAGATAAAAATGAGTGGTGGAGAAGGGGGTAGGGGACAAATGGGGTACACCTTTGGTTTACCCCTAGCATTGCTCTTTTTTATTTTTACCCTTGGATTGAAATTTACTCAATTTTTTGAAAGTCAATTTTTGCAGAAAATTACTCGCGGGTGACGCGAGTTTTGTTGAAATAACTCTCAGGTTTCTCTATTTTCAAGAAGACAGCAAAGGTCCTTACATTTTGTTGTAATGACTGGAAGAGGACATTTCATCTAATATTTCATCTATAAACGTTAATAAATGTATTTTTTCCTATTCTTTTCTAAATGTTTTAAGGTAATAAATCTTAGGTCGCTCCTTTTTTTATTTCTTTGTTTTTCTTTCATTTTGTTACTATTTTTTAAAGTGTTATTTTAGAATTTTTTTCTATAAATTGTATAAAAATTCAAAATTGTTTGTATTATATTAAAACAAATGAAATAAAAAAAATTAAAAAAAAAGAAAAAACAAGGTAATAGCAAAATAGGAAAAAACGGTATTGGAAAAATCGGAAAAAGATACATTTATTAACACTTACGGATGATGTATTGGATGAAATGTCCCCTCTCAGTCATTACAACAAAATATAAGGACCTCGATTATCTTTTTGAAAATAGAAGGACCTGAAAGTTATTTCGACAAAACTCGCGTCACCCGCGAGTAATTTTCTGCAATTTTTGCTTTGCCTGCCCTCTAGAGATGAGCAAAAGGACCAATGCGGTCAGACTAGACCGGTCTTTGGAAAAGACTGCTATAGTAAAAGACTAGACCAGACTAGTCTTTTTAAAAACCCAGTCCTAACTAGTCCAGTCTTCTGATCAAAATCAAAGACCAAATAAGACCACTAGTCAAATGTAGTCCGGTCGGTAGTCCAATCCGGTCCGGTCTCTAGTCCCAACATATTGGGTCAAGATTGTAGTTTTGCGATGTTGTGTCAGGGTTACCAAATAGTCCATCAACTCTTTTTGCAGCGGTCGAGATTGCATGTTGCACTTCGCTCGCTCAGTCGCTGATTCTCTGAGCTGAGGACATCTCTGAGGACTAGCTCTACTGCTCTAGGACAGAGTGTTGTGACGCTTGAGTTTATCTTGAAACTCTAAGAAAATACTTATGGAATAGGGGAAGATGAGAAGTATTAATCATTTCTAATTTGTATTACTCTATATTATTTTTTAAACATTTTTATACGTACTACTCCATATATACTACTCCCTATATACTCCGTAATTTACAAGTAATATAATTAGACTCTAGAGGACTAGTTCTTTGGACTAGTCCTAGTCTTTAGACCAATCTTTTACTAGTCTCGAACTGGTTCAGGTCCTTAACATGTCTTTTACTAGTCTTAGACTAGTCCTAGTTCTCTATAAATATTAAGAAACATTTGAGACCACTGGTCTTGGACTAGACTAGGGATGTAAACAAATCAAATATTATAAATTCGATTCGCGATTCGTATTCGAATATGATGATTCGAATTCGTGTTATTCAAATACAAACTCAAATTCAAATATTATTTTTGATTCGAATATTAATCAAATACAAATACAAATATGGATATATTCGATTCGGATGATATTCGAATATTCGAATATATGTATATATACACAGACCATGTTTTCAACATCAAAAGTCAAGCAAGTAATATAGTATAAAGTGTATTTAAAATACTAAGAATTCAAAAAATTAACGTAACACGAAAATCTAAAGCATATGATTTTTAATGGTTTTATTTTATAAAATATAATGTGTAAGATGCAAATGTATTAATGTTTTTATATGCGGAATATAGTATAGTATAAAGAGTATCGTAAGTTAAATTACAAATTGATGTTGGTCCATCATATAAATTACATAGTATGATTATTCGAATATTCGTTTATGATTCGATAACTATTCGAATATTAATCAAATACTTATTCAAATCTTATTTTGAATTCGTCTCATATTCGAATTCGGATTCGTATTCGAAAAAATTAAACTAATACAAATTCAAATATATCGGTATTCGCTTCGATTCGATTCGTTTACCTGCCTAGACTAGACTTGGGTCAATCTTTTTGGTTCCAGTCTCTTCTCTACTGCCCTCTACAATGGGAAACTTGTATAGAGGCGGGAAACTCAGCATAAACGCTTGTCAGGCTGAGCCGCATCTTCCATGGATTCCGACTCAGATGGATCATATGTATCCGACACACCGCCGTCATCTCCAAAGCAGAAGTCGCCTCCGCCGGTCCCGGCACCGGCGCCACCACATATTCTATTGCCATCCGTCAAGTTTAGAACTAAACTCAAACTTACTGCCAACGCTTCCCGCCCAATTCTAAGACCTAAATCATCCGGCAAGCCAAACCATCCTCCCGCTGATTCTTCAATTCCGGGAACACTACCCCCAGATTCGCCGCCTCCGGCCCAGATTCGCCCTCCGGACATCTCTAATCTGCCCTTCCAAATGCGCTGCTCAGCTCATTCGAACCAGACATTTTTTAATAGAACTGGTGGTTCCATCGGGACTGTTATTCCACGCTTTTCCAAAATCCAGAAGAAAGATCTCAAATTGGAGGCAGCTGAGCTTGATGGTTCTGGCGCCTCATCATCACCCGCCTCTCCATTGGAAGTAGATGCTTGCGAGACAAAAAAGGCTTCTCGAAATTTTGAAATAAAAGTTGCTGCATCTGGAAATTCGGCAAAAAGTGTAAAGAGACATCCTAATCTGATTGGGCCTGGTGATGGTTCAGCTTCACTGTCAGTGAAGAAGCCGAAATGCGTAAACGAGGGCAATTTTGTCAAACTGAATATCAATGGCTCCGGGCGGAAGTATGCATTCAAGGGGAAAAGATATAAGTATGGTTCCTCGAGTAGTGGGAGAAAGTTTTACAGAAGTAGGGGGAAGTTTAAAGGTAAGGGTCAAGGAAAAGGGGAGGAGGATGGCGGGGTGTGTGATGAAGAGGGATTGGTTGTGGATTTTAAACAAAGAAATGGAAGTTTAAATGTACAGGAAGGGTTGGTTCAGGAGGCTGTGATGAGTGCTAGGGGTGAAGCGTCTGATGAGAATTTGCTGAGGTTGTTGAAGTTGGCTTTTGGTTACGATTCGTTTAGGATTGGACAATTGGATGCAATCAAGCTGGTGCTTTCTGGGAAATCAACAATGCTGCTTTTACCAACAGGTGCTGGGAAGTCGCTCTGTTATCAGTTGCCTTCCATGGTTCTCGAGGGGATTACTTTGGTCATTAGTCCATTAGTTGCTTTGATGGTTGATCAATTGAAACAGCTTCCTCCTGCACTACCTGGTGGTCTTCTGTGTAGTAGTCAGGTTAGTTCTACCTCAAATTTAGTGGTTTATGCGTAAAGTGGGTCAATTCTTATTCTTGTATATCTCACTTTTTAGACACCAGAAGAGACATCAGAAACTCTCCAATCTCTGCAAGAGGGATCAATAAAGGTTAGTTTTTTTTGTCTTTTGTTTTTTATGTAGCTGACCCCATCAAATTGGGATTAAGGCTTGGCTGTTTGTCTTTGGAGTCCTTCTAGAGCTTATTGACAAGCTATTTCCTTCATGTCTGCTTATTCTGCTGGATGGATTTTCAGAGAGTTATATCATGGTTCATATCTGGTCATATTTTTAAAGACCAACACAACTAGTTTAGCTTATGTAGCAGGACATAACATTTTGAGCTTTGGGTTGACGCCATATTAGCAGCATCTAAATATTTTTTTCCATATAATCTCATTTTTAGCATGACATTTGTATTTGACTGGCACGTTATATCTCAGGTTCTTTTCATTTCACCAGAGAGGCTTCTAAGTTCGGACTTCACATCTATATTCTCTAGTGGTCCCCTTATATCTCTTGTGGTGGTTGATGAAGCTCACTGTGTATCTGAATGGTGTGTGTCATTCCCTCCACGCGCCCCTTAGTCTTTTGATATTTTTGTTATATTTATAAATTGCAAAGAACATTTGGCAGGTCACACAATTTTCGCCCCTCATATATGAGACTCAGGGCTTCATTGCTGCGTGAAAAGCTCAAGGCTGAATGCATTCTTGCAATGACTGCAACTGGAACAGCCAAAACATTGCACAATGTGATGCATTCTCTCAACATCCCTTCCACTAATCTCATCCAAACAACAAAATTGAGGGACAATTTGCAGATGTCAGTATCAATAAGTAGCAATAGGTGTGTATATATATGTTCAAATATTTTTTGTTTTTGTTTTTTCCTCAATCATGTATGCCATTGTATAAACCGAATGCCTGACAATCATTCCATCCCAACCACAAAATGCTGATAGGCTGAAAGATGTTATAGGATTGCTAAAGTCTTCTCCTTTCTCTGATGTTAAAAGCATCATCATTTATTGCAAATTTCAGGTTAGATTTCCATACACTCATGTCATATGTGAATGCATATTCTTCTTTTGGTTCCTGAAATAAGTGTCTACTTACAAATAAGTCAGATTACATTGAGTCACTGACAAGCTCTTGTTCTTTCTTGTCCCTGCACATATTCTGAAGTCTGAAACAGATATCGTGTGCAAATATCTTTGTGATAACAATATTTCAGCTAAGGTTTGTTGTATTTTTTTATGATTAAATAAACTTTTGACGGATGCCACATTTGCCTGCATCTGTTTCTTTCCATCTAGTGTGCAATTTTATGAGGTTGAATTTTGCATTGTTTTTCAGAGTTATCACAGCTCCATTCCCGCAAAAGATAGATACAGGACACAAGAGCTCTTTTGTGCTAACAAAATTAGAGTGGTGAGGAAGTAATCCAATAACATCATTCTGGTTATATCTTGAAGATATTACATTCCTTCTTGATGTGTTTCAATTAGGGTCATATTCTATGGCTATGATTTTACCAGATATATCTTTTTCGTTTGGACATGTATCACTAGTCTCATTTATTAACTTGCATATTTGTGCTTCTTAAAGGTTGTTGCAACTGTTGCATTCGGAATGGGACTTGATAAGCAGGACGTTGGAGCTGTAAGGACTGGAGTTCTTTTTTGTTATCTTATTTCTTGACTTTTGCCCTTGAATGTACCCAAATTTAATATTTGTCACCTACTCAATCAAAATGGCAATTTTATTTCAACACATGCATTTATCTTCACCCGGCAGATAAGTGGTTTCATCTCTCTGCTTCAAATTCACTCCTTAACAATTTGTTACTGCAGTTATGAGTTATCACATGTGAGATGTAAAACCTAAAAAGTAAAAATGTGAAAGAGATATGAGGAAAGGATTCCTAATGCTTTAATTTTGTTATCAATTTGTAAATAAAGTTCACTTGGAGCAGGTTTATCATATGGTCTGTCAATGCTAGCTATCATTAATTTGAAGTCCAAGTTTTACCCAGTAATGTTTGGAAATGCTTGAATTCAGCCTATTTGTCGTTTCATACTTACATTGATACTCCAAAAGCTATCTATGCCATATTGAGGCATAATAATGCACATCACTTTTTGTGCGGCATTATTGTTGAATATAAAATTATTCTATCCAAATTTTTCTCATTAGGTCATTCATTACAGTTTGCCAGAAAGCTTGGAAGAGTATGTCCAGGTTGGTTATAACTCCTTACGAGTTACATTTATACCTGCTACCAATTTATTTAGCATGAAGGTTCATGTGACCTGTAGGAGATAGGTCGTGCTGGGCGTGATGGTAGATTGTCTCATTGCCACCTCCTTTTTGATGAAATCTCTTATTATAAGCTCCGTAGTCTTATTCACAGGTAATGTTATTTGAACTATTTTTAGTCTTCCATTTTTTTAAATCTTGGGGAAGATAGATACTGAATAACATTTTGTTTCAGTGATGGTGTTGATGAGTATGCTGTAAACAAATTTCTCTGCCAAGTTTTTAGCAACAGCACATGTTTAGCTGGGAAAATATCATCAATAGTTAAAGAAACTGCATCCCGAAAATTTGATATGAAAGAAGAGGTGCCTCACTTCACTCCCCCCCCAAAAGAAAGGCTATATTTTACAACATTATCTGGATTTTCAGTTTATATATTGCTGTCATATGTAGCCGACCCCACCTAGTGGGATAAGGCTTTGTTGTTGTATTTATCTGCATCCAGTAAATTTTGATTTATCGGTACCAATTAACTGTTTTGCAATCCCAAATGTTCTTTTAGTACTTGTAATGCAGTTTGAAAATCTTATTTTACTTTGGAAAAATATAACATGATTGAAGCAACACTTCAAGACATCCAAAAATGAAAGACAAACATTCTTCATCCAAAGCATAATGCTGCAATACACGCTTCTCTTTTTCTAGAATTTTTCATAGCCATTCTAAAAGTGATGGGGAACCAGCGCTTTATGTTTAGTTCCATTATGGGCATGCTCTGACCAACTAAATAAACAACTAGTAGTTTCTCTCGCTCTGGTCATTGCTAAGATAGGTAGGAGTGTAGGACAATAATGGTAGTACGGCTCAAATCCTCATCACAGAGAAGTGAGGACATTTAAAACTGCTTCTATTCTTGTATGTATATCCTAATGTTTGTGATCATTCATGCAAGTCTGCAACTACTCTTGTGACAAAGTATTCTCATATTAGATTATAAGTTAAATGCTTATATTTTATCCTATATTATGGTGTAGATTTGGAATTCACACTGTTAGACTGAAAAATTTCTGACTGATAAGGTTAATATTTTATAGGAGCATCTAAAAGTCGAGCCTTTTAGTACTGACTTATCATTATAACGATGCTGATGGATGGGTTGAATCATGCTTCTAGGTAATGCTGACAATTTTGACTCAACTGGAATTGGGCAATATAAAGTATTTGCACTTGCTTCCTGAAATGAAAGTAACTTGCACCTTGAATTTTCACCTGGTGAGTTGCAACCGTTTGTCATTATCCAAAGAATGAACCAGTTTTCTTGATCCTTTGGAAGTGTTATAGTTTGCTTAATGTTTGGAAACATCTTGATTTTGTTGGAGAAATTGCCCCTTAAATGGATATGGCTATACTATGATAATATCAGTGGCTCTGAAATTGAGTAAGACTAGGGAAATGCTTATTGCAGCTTTTTCTTGCCATTACGAGATTGGCCCTTGAATCACTAGAGCTAAAATAGGATCATCTCAGTGGTTCTGTAATTTAGTAAGAACCAGGGAAATGCTTGTTTTGGTTTTCTTGACATGTATCTTGGTACTGTTTATTCTGAATCTGAGGATGTTTACAATGTGTTCCAGACTTCCCCGGCACTGCTAGCTGCTAAAGATCTAGTGGTTGCAGCAGTCATTAAGAAGTAACTCCCACCTACTAATTAAGAACTTAAATGCTGTTAGCAATTTTTGCGACTAATATTTTTTTTGAAGTTCAGATCTGAAGTTAAAGATGGCCAATATGTGTTTGACATACCAAGCTTAGCAAATAGTATTGGATTGCAAGCCGCTGACTTGTCAAACCACTTGCAGACATTAAAGGTATTACCATACTAAAAGTGTTTTTTAAATCTTTCAGGTTTTTATCTGGATTGTATTTATACATAAAATGAATTATATGTGCATCCACAAATGAAACGATAACTTGCGGGCTTAACAATGTGTTCACATTATATTACTGTTAATGATAGTTTTATAGAACAAGGAAGCTTTAAAAACAATTTTAAAATGCATTTTCCCCCAATTATAAGGAGTGTGGAGTTCCATTGTTTATTACTGTGGATAAGAGTTACCCTTCAGATTGGCAGATGGATAAGAACATTTTAAAAACAACCATTAGTATCTACTGTATAGGTTCAAGTAGGCAGGGGTAACAATTAACAATCATATCCAAGAACAATCATTAATGCATTGGTTTCACGGTGTCATAGTCTTTCTTCTTACATCCAATATCTTATGCAAGTTGAAATACATAAATGAATGAGGGAAGATACATTGAAATGACCAGTAAAGGTATCTGTTTAATTTGGTTATGATATAGTATTAGTTTCTGCAACTATCTATATGTTTGCTTATCTTAGTTTAAGGGGGAAATTGCATATGAGCTGAAAGATCAAGCTTACTGTTACACAATCATCGATTCCCCCAAGGATATTTGTTCTTTAGCAGCACAGCTTACAGACTGGCTTTCAGAGGTTGAGAGGTGCAAGGTGATTATACAATTTCTTCTTTATCCCAAATTCATTTATACTCTCTCCCACACCCCAACATAGAATGCTAGAACTGTGGAGCATTAAGCAATTTCCGGGCTTCAAGATGCCCATGCACTTCAAGACAATTTTGGGCATTGATGGCCATGTATTACATGTAAAAGACAATACCATGTCTCCTTATTGAATTTATTAGTTACGGGTGAAATAAATTTATGCTACATGAGTAATACACATTTACTTCAACTGGAATGAACACCTGAACACTACTGAGATGAACTTGCTCCGAAGCTTGCCATACTTAGTGAGCCGGCTTCATGATATAAATTTCCACACAAGAAACCCCATGAAATATCATACTCTGTACATTATTTTTTTGAGCGTAGCTTTAAGTTTTCAAAGTCTTGCCTCATTTGCCTGGGATCCACAAATATTTATAATTTTGAGACAATATTTAGGGTTCTGAATCACCATTGATATAAAAAAGTATCACACTTTACATACATAATACTCCGTATATGAGTAGTTCTATCTGCTAGCATTTTCTGTATGTGTAGTTATCTTTAGTCCACCATGTATTTAATAATCAAGAACATATATATGAAAATTTTCCCTTTAAAAAGGTGAGGAAGATGGATATGATGTTCAATGCTGCTGTATCTGCGGTAAAAGGGTGTGACAAGGTGTATGGTTGTGATGGCTATGATCATACTCCTTGCTTGCAAAGAAAGATTTTGGAGTATTTCAAAAGCAATGATGATATTGATGTCCCCAACAAGATGGCTCAAAGCAGGTTACCAATTTGTCAAGTTATTCACTTACCAGTCTATTATTAATGATGTTTTTATTAATATTCCACGTAATAATGGCAAATTGTCGTTCAGTTTGTTTCCTTAGAAATTGTTGTGGAAGCTATGCACTGCAGATTTATTATTGTCATCTCAAAGTCAACTATTTTCCTATATAATGTGCTTTTTCATGACACAGTAGCACTAATGTGATTGCCTTTTACCTTTTGTACTTGCAGCCCATTTTTGAGAGCAGACATAAAGGTAAATTGTTGCTGAGATGAAATTTTTTCTACCACCAAAGAATATTTCCTGCCGTTACAAGTTATCAATTATTGTTTCTGGCGCAACAGGTCTTTTTACAGAGCAATTCACATGCCAAATTTACTCCTAGAGCTGTTGCACGGATACTGCATGGCCTTTCTAGTCCAGCCTTTCCTTCCACTTTTTGGTCAAAATGTCACTTCTGGTATTTCTGCAAAGAACTTTATGCCCAAGAAGCATTGATATTCCTGGCTATTGTCTTTTTCTTTTTGTGTTGTCACATATTTAGATGAGTAATAGTATAACAATATATTGAACCTTGTTCGCTCCTGTCTCCTTTTAAACAAAGTTATCTATTCATGTTGCTTGCTGCTTCTCCAGCACATTCCTAGTCCCAACAATCTAGCTTTCAACCTCTCTAGTACCTTCCTTATTCATATACAGGGTATATTCATTAAGTTAAATGAATCATAATATCTCATAACTTGTTTTAGGGGAAGGTATATGCAGACAGAATTCAAAGTTGTGATGGAAGCAGCAAAAGCAGAACTCATGAGTTTTGTCGGGAAGGATTTATTATGATTGATGCCAATGTGAGAAAATGACAAATCATTTACAACCTGCAAACTGGTAATTCCACAACTGGCAAAGCTTGAGACTACTTAGTGGATACTCATGATTCTTTATGTGTTATCATAGGAGTGTTTGGGTAGGAGCAATTCAAAGTGTCCTGCCTATTTAAATACCGCTTTGGGTAAAATGTTTGCGTGCTAACTGCATTATAGTCTTCTAGGAATGTTTTGACAATAAGCCCATTGACACACTGCTTTGAGTAAAATTCTTGTGTGTTAAATGTTTTGTAGTCTTTTGGGAGTGTTAAGCTTGAAGCCCTTCCAAAATGCTAAAATCAAGAAGTTACAGTTGCAGTTTCTTTATAGTTGATATGAATATTTGAGCAATTTATGTTTTTTTTTCTCTTGGACCAAAATACTGTAACAAGTTCTCTTTTTCCAATCACTTGCATGAAAGCCACACAAAAAAAAAAAATTGACCACCTCACAATGAGCTTTTACCAAACTTCCATCCAAATTCTTGATCAATATACTGTTCAGAAACCACTGTTTCCAAACCAAAAATCTCATTTTCAGAGCACGCGAAACCACAAAGTATATGATCAAATTGTTTTCCAAACATCCCTTACAAATTGAGCATGCTGGACCTATATTGAGCATGCTAGGGGCAACCTTAATCTGATTCAACCATTTTTTTTAATAATCTCTGCCTAATTTGTTGTCATGCTTTGGCTTCCACGTACATTTTGGATTGAAGTCCTTAATGAATCTAATTCTTTGGACTGAAGTCCTTAATCTTCAGGTTCAACCAAGCAGTTGCAATGAGCAAACTTCACTTTACTGTGATGAATGGCATCATATTCTCTGGGATATCAAAAGCTGTTGGGTGTCCAAAAGGATTAGATTGATTTTATCTTTGAGCACTCTGTGGGAAGCCATTGACAGATCTTTAAGCACTGGGGTTTAGCAGATGAGAGGCTTCTTCTGCAGATGATGACAATAGTGGACACCAAATGGAAGGCTTTGGACAGGTTCTTAATTCTTGAAATGAAATTAAAAAAACACATTATAAAATGATTGAATCCTCTGTCTCTAAAAGATTACCACAGTTTAACTTTTTTGGTCAAACTGTGGCACCCTTTGACCACAAATTAAATATAGTTTAAAGTAATTAAATATTATAAAAATTTGATATTTCAAAACTATATTTTAAAATAAACTCAATTTTATTAAATTTACATTATAACTAAATATAATTTTTTTATAATTCGCACTCAAAGGGTGCTACCATTTGGCCACAATAGTCAAACTGTGTCAATCTTTTAGGGACAGAGGGGGTATTATTTAGAACGGTTGTAAATTAATGTAATCCGTAGAATAGTAGTGAACATTACCCCAATTTGCTTTTCACATTCCATGTCTATTTTTTGGGCTGGCTTATACTACTACTATAATATTAGTATACCTTACTTCATTTTGTTATTTACAATTGGCTATGCACTTTGGTAATTGTGCTTTTGTCAATCTTACAACAAGAACAACTTATTCATTGTTCAATCAGTTTTTTCTTAAACTTTCTAATTTGTGTCTATCATTTTTGTTTTGCCATTTTAATTATGTAAAGCTATTTTATTAAACATTTTCCCGTAATAATCATTTGACTTACGAGTATATGGCTATTAATCTTCACACTTTTTTGATAAAAGAATTGCTGATTCAATGTGAGCAAGCTCATGAACAATCCTGATATATCATTGATACACAAACTGCGGTTCTTTCTCTTTCTGGTTACAGGTTTGACTGACTTTATTTCCAATTCAATTTATTTGATTTTAGGTATAAAATTTAAAAATAAAATTCATATATTTAAAAACTACATCAAAAGTTTTACAAAATAAGAGGTGACAAGACTATTATCAAATAACTAACAAAAATAAATAAACAAAGTGATTAAAATTTAACGGTGTGAATAGTAATTGAAAAGAATATTTTAGGACGGAGGGAGTAAAATATAAGTTGTCATCCCAAATGACTTCACCCTAGTGCAATTTTAAAAAAAAAAGCCACAAAAGGGCATAAGCCATTTCTTCAAGTTAACAACAAAACCCATCTAACCAGAGTAGGGTTTGAGACATTTCTTCAAGCTATTAATAACAATAACTAACATGCAAATTGAAGAGAGAATATACATGCACGACAAGCAAATGCTTTTACTCGGAGTGGAAGTTTTAAGTGCCAAATAGCCTTCCAAAACTAATCGTTGAAGAGCTAAGTTCTTATTTTACTTAGAATCTCAAGAACCTATAAGCTTCCTTGAGCGTCACTTCACTGCCAAATCAGCTTGTCAACTGACTTCTAGAAGTGGCGAGAATGTCTTTTACTTTAACATCAACATGCAAAAAAATAAAATAAAATAGATTGAAATTGGACCATAGAAGATCTAAACTAGTACTTCCTGCAATTCTCTTTAACTGTTTAGCTCGCTTTTCGAGTTTGATATTTAACCAATAATATCTCTTAAAATAGGTTAGCAAAACATTTATTGAAATCATCCCTCAAAAATATTTTTCTATACCAATAATTTGATATACATTTATATTTTAATTCATTGCATATTTTTATATATAGTTAGTCAAACTATGGTATTGATTTCTAAAATAATATTTTCAATAGACTAATGCAATCTGACCAAAGAGTTCCTTATGATATTGATTTCTAATTCAATATTTGAAATACTCCCTCCGTCCCTGAGTATTTGTCTATTTCTGACTTTTTTCGGTCAATATTAGTAAACTTTGATTTCAAATTAAATAAAAATGAGATTGGATATTTACAAAAATAATTTTATTAGATTACTTATATCAAATATTTTTAAAATATTATTTTATCTAATTAATATATAATATATTTTATTTAATTATAAATCAAATATTGAAAATAGTTGATCAAAAAATTAAAATTAAACAAATACTCAGTTAAAAACAAAAAAAAAGAGAATTTTGAGTTGAATGGGATGTGGGAACAGCGAATACAAAATTGATACGCATGAGAATATTCCACTCCGGCCCAAGTCTACCAAACAAGAACAAGAACAAGAACAAGAAATTAAAAAAAAAACAATTTTTCTTATTAATTTCTTTGGTTTTTTTTGTACAGACGCATAGAGATTTTTCTGTTTGCTTTCCCTCCTTTTGGCTATGATGATCATTGCGTACTGATTCAGATTTCATACACCTGATTTTTCTTGATTTCTTGGGTTTAAATTTGCGCAATCCGAACATTCAAGAACGTCTGATTCCGCGTGAAATCCAAATCTGTTATTTGCAGCCAAATCTTAGGGAAATTGGTTGGAATTTGTGGGAATTGGCGGCGGTGGGCGACGGCGGTGTTGATGAAAATGGCGGCGAGATCAACCGTGTCGTTGATCAGGAATGCTGTTCCCGCGACGGGAACAACTATGAGAACGGCCGCCGCCGCGGCAGCTGCTACGGCGACATCGTCGCCGTCAGTATTCGCGAATTACCCTCTGGTCTCTGCTCTCTTTGCCTTCGCCGTTGCTCAATCCATCAAGTTCTTCACAGTCTGGTAACCTTCCGTTTTGTTTTCCCCATAAGAGTCTAATTTGAACTAGTCTTGTTCGTTGGAATCTTGAAACTTCTGAGATCTAATTTGAGGTCTCATGTCAGTTTCTTCATCTGAATACCTAAATTCATAGTCCCTCAAGACTGTCATTGTTTCATCATAGTGTTTACTGGAAAAGATTCATAGGCCATAGGTTGTGAATGTCTAGAAATTTGTTACAGCTTGATATATTTTTGTTAAAACTTTATGCTGCAATGGAAAATGATTTTGGACTTGCATGTAAGAGTGAAATGGTAGACTTGTATTTGTGCTGCAATGGAAAAGGAATGCATGAGTATTTACGCCGGCAGGGTTGTAGGTACAAGGAACGGCGATGGGATCTGAGGCAACTTGTTGGGTCTGGTGGTATGCCTTCATCCCATTCAGCAACTGTAACTGCTCTAGCTGTAGGTGTTGGTTTGCAGGAGGGATTTGGAGGCTCACTTTTTGCTACTTCATTGATTTTAGCATGTGTGGTATTCTCTCTCCCCCCTCCATTTCCTTTAATTTGATCATGTTATTATGTGCTCTGAAGTTATTTGTGTATTTTCATTGAGTATTTGATAAAATAAAATATTCTTGTCACCTCTCAGTTTGTAGAACTTTTGACATAGTTTTTTAATATGTAATTTTTATTTCTTATTGATGTACCAATTTTTAAATAAAATGATTTCAAAAGACGAGAGAGTTTGCCTCGTAACTCCCTATTTGTAATCAAATTAGGGACGAAGGGAGTACTATATATTGATGGTGCTTGTGATGAAGCCCTTAAAGGCTGCATAATACTATGATTGTATCTGGCAGCACCAACAACTTAGGGTACAGCTTTTTGGCTTGATTGAAAGAGTGAAAGGCTTGTTCTTCTTCCTATAGATCCTCTCTGTAACCTAGCTTTTTAAAAAGTTATCTTATGAGAAGCTATCTTGTAGTTCAATATAATTCCCTCAAGTCCTCAACCACTTTTACTGTACACTTCCAGTCCAATTCAATCCAAGATGTCAATTTGTCAGTTTAATATAGCGATCTGATTTCGTCTATGTTCTATGTTCTAAACGCTAGCAATAACTACAACTATCATACCAGCAACTTGTTCTTAGTAACTCACAAAGCCCATTAGTTACTCTCATCATTTGGAATGAAAGTTATTGTGTTGCTATTTAACTAGTGCCATTCTCATTCCTTTTTTTGTGGGTGAACTAAAATTAAACTTGAAATTCAAATAAATATTTCCAGGAGTTAGTGACTCCTTTGTTTCTTAAAACTTCCTGCATTATACGTTTGGTACATGTATGTTGCAAACATGGTTTTTGTACTATATTTTTCTATTCTGCTTTACACGTGGGGTTGTGGTTAATGGGAAAAAGGGATAGTGTTGCTCTCTATTCTATCTCATCCTAATTATCCTTGTCCATTACTTTTCATCGTGCTGCTGAAATTTAATGTGAGGAAAACATTCTTCTGGCAGGTGATGTATGATGCTACAGGTGTAAGATTACAAGCGGGACGCCAAGCAGAGGTTTGATAACTCATCTCTAGAGTTGCTCGGTGTGTTTGGCTGAATTTGTTGAGGCAAACATGTTTTTCCTGCTAGATTGAAATTCTACATTGGATACCAAACTGGATTGTTCAATTAGGAATTGCTCTCTATTTTTGCTCCTCAAGTTATTACAGCTGTAGAAATTTTAGCATTTTGTTTTGAAACTTTTTGCGAAAATATCCCTGCTTTTATCCATTAGTTGCAGTTTTGAATTTTTAATCCTCTCCAACAACAACTATGGACTAAAACTGTGACAGGGTTGGATGGGTTAATCCATAACTTAATATTCATTTGGAATTTTGTAGAATCAAAATATTAGCACACTATGATCATATAACATTTCAATCACCTTTTCTTTGTTTTCAACTTTATTTTAAATATCAAGATATGGAGACAACTAGGGAACAAGTTGCTAAAGTTGCTTAAGCAAGGGAGTAAAGTTTTTTAAATAGCACTTCACACTTGTCTAATCTATCTGTTCCAATCTGATTCATTATCAGGTTCTGAATCAAATTGTGTATGAACTTCCCGCTGAGCATCCTCTTGCCGAGAGCAGACCACTTCGCGAACTTCTGGGTCACACACCGCCTCAGGTTTGCCATTTATGCTTTCTATTACAGTAAGATGTATCTCCGGGCATTTTGGCTTTGTTTGACAGTGAGCAGTCCGGGGGTTGTGTTATGGGAATCAATTCAATCAGTAGATAGGATTAGCAATGTGTAGCTAGATGTTTGATAAAACTAGTATTGTCCACTTGTGCATTTCAAGGGATGCACTGACTAAATAATATCTACTCCCTAACTCTTTAAGAAGTGTAATAAATATGCTTGTACACATTAAAATTCCACTGTTTGATCACGACAAAAACCATTGTTAAATATTTTACAAATTTTGTGAATTTCTGTGGCAATATACTAAAGCTTTTACAGAGCATTTGTTTAAATATTGTATGTGTGTGCGTGTATCTTACACAAAATAACTGCCCTGCCCACCATGCAACGGCAAGAGGCTCATCTCTATTTCTTCTTTCATTACATACACATGTTGCTGATGTAAAGTGTATCATATCTTCTCATATTTCCCCATAAAAATCATTTAAAAAAACATCAAA